CAAATACCTGATATCAAGAAAAACCAGAACGACGTTGTTTCAAACAACACTACATATACAGCAAATAATATATAGTGTTTATTATTTCCTTTAAAATGTTTCCATGTATCCTAAAGAGAGAAAAGTGATTTGTATATATATAACCGTTGTTGAATGAGTGAAAACTAGAATGATATAAGTGACTTTGTATAAATCCTGAGAAAAATGTGTTTATTTTAGGCTATATTTCAGTTGCAATGTAATTTCGTAGTTATATTGATCAATTGAAATGACGTGATTTTAATGATGAAACAAATCACCACGACTTTACCGTAATATTGAGTTAAATAAACAGTTTTCTCAGAATTTATGAAATGTCACTTAACGTTCTGGCTTTCCCATTCAGTTTTGCTACCACAAGATGCTAGAATTTCCAAACGCTACTTCCCAGTCTTTTTTTCTCAGTGGCAGAATTTTTTGGGTGAGTATTTTGTAAACTAATATTTGCTTACTGAATGCATTTTGTAATAAAATGTTAATAATGATATTTGATATACGATTTCAGCATCGAAAGTTTAAATATGAGTAATCTGTACGAATTTTAACACTTAATAATTTTCACCGAACTTTTGACAGGAAGACGAAGGAGACAAGAACAGTAAAAGGGAAAAAGACGACTATTTGCATCGTTGACCATTATGTTACTTTTCCAACCGTGAAAGTAAAGTTTAATTTGTTTACTCCGATAGAGGAACGAATGAAATGAAAACTCATTGATTACCTTTTACGAAATCAAATATACGAACGTTTAAAGCTTATTTAATCATTTTTTCCGAGTTACAAACATTTAATGTTCCAGTTTATAAATAGTACATAAAAAACAAGAATACATATTTTACTTCAAATTGTTTCAAGTCCGTAAAGTCTTAAGAACAAAACTGCTAGAGCTTAAGAAAACGTCCAAAATTATACTTCTTTTTCATATGCTACAGTTTTTTAATGTTTTCAACAATAAAACAATAAAATATGCAAATAAATAAGTACAGTTCTATTTCCATTACTAGCGCCATCACATTGTATGCAATAGCAATGACAGAAGAAGAAAATACTAGAACAATGAGGACGAACAAAGATCAGGAATTCCAAAACATTCATTTAGGAATCGGAAGAGTGCGGAACAAATGAATGGGAATGCAGCGGAAGAGATGTTGACGAGAGCGTGAGAGAGGACAGAGGCGAGCGAGGGACGAGAGAGAGGCGGAGGTGGCGCCGGGTGCAGCGGTTGCTAATTGCGCGGCTCAAGGCGCTTAATTACGGGACCTGAGATCCACCGGCTTAGGAGAAGAGCGCATGAAACGGCACAAGGGAGCTTAAAATTAAATTTTTTAACAGATCCCTGAGATACGGCAGCGGCAAACGACTACCTATTCGCCTTTTCAGCTTTCCCTTGCAATATTCTAAGTATCAGAGTACTTCGTTAATAAAATAAATGTTTGATTGAGATTCTCCAATTATTCGGTTAAAGAAGGGATATTTCAATAGCCTGTCAAACTAATTTTAAAAAAACATTTAGTTTTACTAAGTTATTTTATTCTGAAGCTTGTTCCAGAATCGAAAAATGAACATTTAAGAAAACCAAAATATTTTCATGTCGTAACCCAAATTATTTACGTATTGTGTTTCAGTTTTACGTTTGAGTTTCTCTAAATATATGAAAATTAATGAAAGAATGAAAAATATGAAATTCATGTGCTTGCAAGACATTAGTTTCCTACTCATTGGTTTGAAACAACTGATTTTGCATCAAACGAATATTCATTTTTCCAGAAACTCTTCCTTTGGAAAAGCAATATCGCAAATCATCGTCATTATAACATTCAAATGTAATGAGATAGTAATTCGGATACCTGGAATTCAGTTCTTAATTACTACTTACATTCATTGTAAATATTAACCTTCTACAAGTTGGCATAAAAGTTTTTTAGCATTTCAATAAACGAAGTTTAAACTAACTTAATAATCATCAACAGTCAAAGCGGTTCATTATTTTCGTCTAACTACAACGATGATTATTTGAATTTTTATCAGTCACTCATTTCGACGAGAAAGAAATTTGCGCATTCCATAAAACAACCAACGGAATACACTTGGTTCCGCTACATAGCCGCTCTTCAGGAAACGGAACATATTTGCGATGAAGTTTCTCAGCCTCATTGATACATTTTATTACCTAATTTTCTGTTGGTATATCTACACAGCTCTTTATGGACGAGATTTAGTTAGCAAAGCAGATAAGTATGGGAAAACGTTAATGAGGTTGGGTCACGCCTGAATTCTTAAACTGCCCGCAATTTCCACATTCTCTTGCAATTACATTCGACAAACCACAGTTACGTCTGCTAGATACCTAGAGCTGAAAAATTGCGCCTTATTTACCCAGTGTCCTACATAATCAATATTCGTAGAGTTATGCGAAGTAACATTTGAAATGCAATTTCATCTGCCATCGAGGGAAACTTTTTGATTTCTCATAAAAACGGTTACAAGATATCCGTTTAAGAAAACTGGATTCCGCCTCCGGGTAGTAACAATATTGCACTGGATACATATCACATAATACTTGTATCGCATACTAATAAAAATTAACCGTTTATTTAATTTATTTGCGCCTCTACCTCTCTCAATACATCGAAAACAGCATAACAATTTTGTAATCGCAAAGATTGTCAGAAACGTGAAAATACTAAAATCATTATTTTTCTCACGAAATGTATAAACATGTTTAAAACACTGTCACTTTAATAAACGTAGAACCCAAAGAAATGTATTTTCTTGAATTTGTCTAATAACTTGAAATTTTCCTCAGGTCAAAGAAACACACAACGTTTTTGTTTTTCTCACAATATATGTTTTCTGCTTCAGAAATGGTAGATCTGCCAAGTTACAAAATATTGTGTTTGACACATACTTTGCAAGTGAAACACAAATGTGGCGGATATAAGGGAAATTTTCGCGTACTCTAAATAATTTGCAACATTTCGTACACCTTAAGCTGGTACTGCCACATCTTCGAACTTTTTCACACGCCTAAATTATCTGCTAGGATATCCTGACCGGTAATGGAAAATATGTGTTGCACCTTTTAAGCAAACACATGCGCAGATAAATTCAAGAATTGTTCGAACTCTAATCAACACACGTTAGCCCCTACACAACAGTTACTTCAATTAAGCGTAGCCGAAGCATGTGAGCGTTTTAAAAACTACATTTTCTTCAGACACTCGCATGGAATTTTCTTGATTTTGTAAGTTTTATACTCTATTTTGGGTATAATACTAAATGAATCATGAACTCGCAACTGCGGACACTATCCCACACCAAACATCTCCTGGTGAAATGCGAGTTTAAGATTGTTTCTCGAAATGTTCAACGTCGTGTAACGCGTGTGCAGTACTAAAAGGTACGAGGTAGGTTCCAGACGTTTCTGGCCTCACTAACATCTAAATTTGATACAAAGAAAACAATATGTTAATTTTAAACTTGATCATCCTTTTCTCCAACTTACTCTTCACATCTGTATATTAATAATTCTAGGCCTTTGAGAAAACTTAGAAATGTTGTTCACGAAATATTCCAAAACTAGTAGTCACGTCAGACTCATTTGTAAATTTTCTCCTCCGTAGATCTTTCTTCAGTTCTCGTAAGTGGTACACGTCTCTGGGTGCCCAATCTGGACCGAAGTGTGATGTCCCAACTACTGGAACTCTTTTATACTTCACAACATTCTTTGCAATCTGAATAGTAAGCACAGGTGCGTTGTGAAGATACTAAACAGCGTAAGATTTCACGTACCGCTACTAATTCAGGTAACTCTCTCCACAAAACTGCATGAGATATTGGCTGCAAACTTACGGCATTAAAACAATTAAAGATAAAACTATTTACAGCTCAGAAGGTTTTCCCTTTGGCGAGCGTTATCTTGCCGGCGTCTCCTGTGCAGGTGGATTCGGAAGTTGTTGTGGAAGCGGTAAGCGCACCGACGGGCAGTGGGGCCAGAGGCGTATCTAGGCGCGCGTGGCAAGCATAGTATTTGCGCCCTTGGAAGGTTACCACAAATTAGGGTTGTCATTATTTGTTTAGCGGGAAGGCCATTCTCTAAAAAGCGCCTCTTGTGAGTGGCGCCCATGGCACGTGCGATTTCTGCCACACCATAGATACGTCTCTGGGTGGGACAACGCAATTCTGCCGGCGCTGGGCGGCGTAGCGCGGCGCGGCCCGTTCCGAGGCCCCGACGCCTCAACGGCCGGCGCCCCGACGCCAGGCGCCGCGGCGCCCGCGCGCCTCACATCACGTCGCCGTCGGCGTACACTGTGACCACGGCGCTTCTCCAAGAGGCATCACATCGCGGCTCGCTCTTTGTTCTTACGAATACGGGTCTCGAACCTGAAAAGGGACAACACTAACATTCGTTGCCCGGGGGGAAAGACGTTGCAAAATGAATCATTCGCTGATGTTTAGCGATTTGAAAACAGCATTGCCGTTCATTCACTTATGTCATACATCGCAATCCAAGTATATCTTTGTCTTAAAATATGATTTGTAGACCGATAATGTTTTCTCTTTATGCATTCTCGTATTTTCTTCTGATTTGCGAAATTTGTGAAACGTTTAGTAGGATAAAAGACCCAACAAGAGATACAAATAACAACACGCTTGAACTTCTGCCAAAACTTCATTTACCACGTACAGGCACTCACAGTTCATGATTATTTTCGACTAATTGATCTTCAGCAAACGCGTCACACAATTGGTTTTCAACACTTTGTCGTTGTTAGCATTCTTTACAAAAATTATCAATGATACTTCACTGAATTACAGTAATATTTTACACATAAGCACATGTCAAGTGGCTGCTTTGGAAGGTATTTGCGTCTTCTGTTACAATATGCGGAGCACCAATCTCACACAGTTGAGGGCGTGCCGCCCCTTGCCGAGTCGCGGAGGGTGAAGGGTGACGTTACCTTTTTCCGTTGCGGCGTCGCCGCTTGGTGGCGTACACAGTGCCCAGCTGGTTCATGCTGAGGCTGGAGGTGGCAGAGGAGGGCGCGGAGGCCACGGCGACCGGGGTGGCGGCGGCGCCGGCGCCGGCGGGCTGGTACAACGAGGCGGGCGGCGGCGCGGGGGGCCGCGCCCCCGCCGGAGTCGGCACGCCAGCAGCTCCGTGGCGGCGGGGCGGGCGGGGGGCGGCGGCGGGGCGACTAAGCGGGCGCGGGCATCGGCGGGCTCCACGCGCCAACCGGAGTGACCAACTCGCTGGCCGCTTCCGGACGTCATGTCACCTGTGTAGCACTGTGTCAAAGCCACTGCGGGGCGGCGCTAACCGCGGCGGCGACATAGAACGCGGCGGGGACTCCAGACTGGGCACTTGCACTGAGGTGCGGCGGCCGCGCGGCGGGGCGGCGTGGGCGACGTCTCCCGGTGGGGCGGCGTGGCGTGGGGCGTGCGTGAGGCCCCGGGCTGGCTGACGGCGGCGGTGGCCGGGGCCGGGGGGGTGGGGGAGACTCGTGGCGCCGGCGCACAGCTCAGCGCCCGGCGGTCGCAGCAAGCGTGCCCGGCGGACTAGCGCATGCGGGCCAGGACCCGTCAGCGCCCCCCGTCGGCGAGCGGCGCCCGCCCGGGCAGCGCACGGGACGCTACGCCCTGCGCGTAGGCGCCATGGACGGCGCGCGCGCCGCGCGAGCCCCCATGGAGGGCGCGCCGCCGCGCCGCGCTCGGCAAAATCTGGCTGCCGTGCATTGCACCCCCTCGGCGCGCCGTCGAACGCCTCAGCCCCGCGACCGCCCCGACCGACCCCGGCCACGGCCTGCTGTCGGCGTCGCGCGAGGCCGCAGCCGCCGCAGTCGCCGCCGAACCCCGGAGCCCGCCGCCGCCCCTGTAAACACACCCGCAGACACCGCCCTCAGTTCGCCCGCCGCCGAGCTGCCCGCCACGCCGTCCGCAACACCGCCTGGCGGCGCGCACGGGCACTAGGACACGTGGTCGCTGCCCTCGGACTGCGCCGGCCAGGGCGCACAACTCGCCCCAGTGCTTCGCTGCAATAAGGACAGAGGCCATTCCTGCCACTTCATTTTGTGGTGCACTCACTTTTCGAAAGATATATCAACGAAACGCTGGTATATTTCTACATCTGCTGTCGTCTCATAAAATACCACAGGACTTCATGGATATGTAATTTTAAATGGTGTTTTAAATATTCATTTTCCGGTACATATTTGCAATCATAATATATGACTTCTGTTATTGAGATTTTTTTACAACCAACAATTCTTTTTTCCTAATATTGTAAATGAAGGAGTTCAATATAGATATGTAATGTTTTGTTGTATTATTAAAATGTAGAAATATTTAGATTGTGAATTTTTGTTGTAAGTAATGGTCATACATATTCACTTGCATCATATTTATTAATTGTAAGTTGTTATACCAATTTCAATGTTATTCCTTTGAGGTACAGACGTTCAACTATTTTTATTGCTATTAATTATAAAATGAAAGATGGAAAATAAACAACATTGAATAGATCATATGCATTTCCTTGATACGACGGAGATAGGAAGAAACGTTTTTCCGAAAAGAACAAAACGATAAAAAATATTCAAATATTTTTAAAGTGAAATTAGGTTCCAAGTTTATGAACTCTGGAAAACATTCTGAAACAATTTTATCATAATACTATATATTCGTAGAAACATGGACTTACTTGACATTATAAATACAAATACATGCAAAACGTATAATCGAGTTGTAAAAAAAATTGTACGAAGACATTTTTAATACATTTATGTCATATTTTCCTTTTATTAAAGATGCAAATTTATAATGTATGTGAGTACAGGATTGAACTTACTTTTGACAGGAAAATGAAATTTAATATTTTTATGTACTCTGCTTAGAGAATGACACTATGTAATGCTACAGGAGAAAGGGCTAATCTTTTGAGAGATAAACACGTTTGTAGGATTTTTCATATCGAGAAACTGGTTTTCTTACTCTCATACGTAGAATAATACTTTCTCGTTGTATGTATAGTCATAATTCATGTAGTATGGTTCTCTGCTATCGAAAAAGAGTTTTTCCCAAAACGTTTAAGTTTTTCCGTCCATCCGCGTGTCTGCTTGTGGGCAACATTGTTCCCAGGAAATTCTCCAAAATGGACATTCTCCAATCGATCTGGCCGTATTCAGCCGTTCATTAAATGAAACACCTACATTTTCAAAATTGTATGAAAAAAGGTTCCAATTCTTGCTTAAATACAGCATTCAATATAGCTTTTAGACAATACGCTTATAGAAATAGTGCATGTCTGATTTTCAATAAAACTGTAATTTCGGGAATTGCACACGTTTCCTACATTAATTCATTATTGCAAATATAATTTTCTTTCTGAATAAAAACTGTTCTTCAAAATAAGATATTTAAATAGGGTCATGAAGTACTTTTTTTTAATAGGGGTTTTCAGTTAATTTTGTTATCAGTAATGTTGAAATCGTAATAAGCAGTAACGTAAACAAGTTCTTGAAAACGACTTATCAGATGTGGCATGCCACTGGTTGACACTTTGTAGTTAATATTTAAAATTTTTCCATTTAAATGTTTGCTCAAGAGTCAAGTGTACTTAATATAACGGCGCAGGTCCGATTTTATTTCAAACATAGAATATTAAAAATTATTTTCACATTGAAGTAATCCACGTTCTATAGTTATTTACCAATATTACTAATTTCCAATACACCCATAAATTGTAAGGAGATTATCCAGCCTTCGGCCGCGTGAGAGTTGTCTGGGGTTTAGTTAGATGCCAAAGATATCCATAAAATTCCAAACAACCATGAGACATTTTTGATTTTGTCTGAAAAAGGGGAAATATTTCATCTTTCTCTTGCGCCTATTGGCATGCTGCGCCTGCCACTGAAATCTCATATCCAATGCCTTACTCTTTACGACGTAGCTGAAGCCAAGCGAGAGCAAAGCTCCAAGGAAGATATCGCCCCTATTTAAAGATTTGCTATTCACGTGTCACGGTATGGAACAGCAACTTGTTTCATATTATTGTTCTACAGTATATATACCTTATTACGTTGTATATACGTAAATGTATGTGTCTGTAAGACGTCTCTAAACAACGCTAGCGGCTAAACCGTAAGCATAATTTTCACAAAAATTGATATTATTCGTCGCTTCGCGAGTCGGGAATTTATCGACAATTTTCAAAGCACTAGTGGTATTACCTGTGGTAATTTTTTAAAAATGAAATATGTTCTCCAGAAACTCTCTTTAAAAAGACAAGTTCAATTTTTCGAAAGTATGACTATTTTTTAAAAATTTTCCTCCTTACAAAGGCAATTTTTAAAGTTTTAAAAATTGATCAAAAATAGAGGAATAATGGTGCGCTAATTTGCAGTTACTTGTAACTTCGAGCCACTATCGATTATAATACATACATTTTTTGTTGAGAAATCCGTGCATTATGAGTGTTTAGACCAAGGTTGCCAGATTTGAAAATTTTGCCCCAAAATGGGATTTTTTTTCGCTGTGGAGAAAGAAGGGGGAACATATATAAACGGTAAATGTTGGGGAGTTTGGGGGAAATTTTTTCATCGGGAATCGGGATAGAAATATTATTCTCTCTATTATTATAAATAAAAAAGAAACAATACACATTCTTTACCATTTTTATGTGCTATAAAGAGAAAAATAAGGCATGGGCTGAGAAAGAAAAATAAGAGAAAAATGAAGATAGTACAGCAGCTCAGAGAATGAGGATTGGTTGATTTGAATTATATTATTTTAAGGTGACAGTGAATGGAAACTTCAAAGAGCGCTCATGTTGGTCCGTATTTTGGAGAATACAAATGGTATCAAAGTTGGGGAATTTTGTTTCATTGAAGAGGTTATTTGGGGAAACTTTGAAGTAGTGGTGGGGGTAGAGCTTGCAACACATTTGGCAACTCTGGTTTGAACATTTTTTTCAACTAACCGTTTCAACTAACCGCTAAACATGTATGACGTACTATGAGTAGAAGTGTAACGAATACGTTTTCTTCAATTACAGAATCGATACCCTAACCCATAAACAAGTTGAGTTCTCAATAGAGAAGGAAAAAAAACTGGTGAAAACTTCTGTGAAATAATTGTTTTTCTATATAATGTGCAACAAATACTGTACCAGATAATGCTATTGTTTTTTTCATTTGTGAAGGTAAGGAATGATTGCTTCTCCTGACTATTGCACTGAATGTAGATATGCCTCACAGGCACTGTGTTTGAATAGGTTGAATTGAACGTTTTCAAAAATTAGCTGAGGAGGTAGAAGAGCAGAAATTGCAATATTTTAATATTACGTATTTCAAAAATGCAAAAACGTATGTGTTGTTGTAGCACCACTACTTGTTACGGGGAACTTGAAAACGCATTGTTTCATTTTCCTAGTAAGCTTTTACTAAAAGTTTTGACCTTTCAAAACTAATTCAAAACCTAATCGCGCCATTGGAATTAATCAAAATCCATTTTGTGGAAAATGATATTGATTGTACGAAAGGTTTGATTAACTTTTGTCAATTTCCTCACCATTTTCGAAATATCCATCAAAACCTGAAGGAGACAAAACACAAATTTTTCCATAAGAGGAAGCAAAGGCGGACAGAGGTAGTTTTCATGAAATATTGGTCAAACTGTAACGTTTTCCTGTTTTGAAGGACTTATGGGCAAAATTTTATTAAACAAAATTTTGGAATAAAACAGTGAATTATTGTAAAAAAACAAAATTCTTCTTTAAATAATAAAAATAATAACCTCGAAAAGGTTAAATTATTCCAGGAAATTGTCTTAGTGTGAAAATCTCATTAAAATCCAATTAGCAGTTCCCGAAATTGGTCCCGACAGACAAAAATTACAAAAACAATGCAATGGCTATACAATAAAAAATGCAAAAATAGGTATACACCATAGGTATTCCATATTTTTGTTGAATATTAATGTTGTAAGACTTCGTGAAGAACTCACACATTTTAGACCAAAATAACTTATTCTTATATTAATTGATAATTGAAATTGCTCGCGGAAGCTTCTTTAAAATTATATTTTTCTGAATTCTCAAAAAGTTCTAGATAATG